TTTTTTTTTTTTTTGAGAGCTGAGAGAGAAGGATAAACATTTATTAATTAATAAATTAATAAATTTCCCTTTTTCCAGTGGCCATCCAGTGCCTGGAAACAGCATTTGGGGTCTCCATGGAAGACCAAGGGCTGGCTGTGTCCCAAACCCTCCCTGAAATATTTGAAGCTGTGGCAGGGAAGGTGAGTGAGGGAATGCCCTGAAATATTCCCTTTTTCCCTCAGCTCTGCTGCATTTCCCAGGATCTGCTGCTCCCCTTGGAGCCGTGTGGGAGGGGAACGTTTTGGGCTGGGGGGAAAAAAAAAAAAAAAAAAGGGAATTTTGGGAATCCTCATCTGAGCTTCTCCCTTTCCTTGCAAGGAGCTGGAACATTCCAGAACGAACTCAGAGCCCATCACCCCCTCAGAAGATGATGTGGCTGAAGCTGAAAGACTCAAGACTGAAGGTACCAAGCCCTGGAGCAGCTGGATAATTAAATTTGGTGTTAATTGGGAGAGGATCTTAATTCCCTGGCACCTGGGGCTGCTTGGAATGGGGGGAGAAAAAAAAGGGAATGTTTGTATTTCTGCTTTTTGCTCTCTGAGCTGCAGGAGCGTGGGGAAGTTTTGCTGCCAGGAATGGTTTTTTTGGATCAGTGGGGGGGATTTTTATCCCAAAAAAATGCTGTGGGGTGTGGAGCAGAGCATCCCACCCTTCCTGCTCTGCTCTGGCTTTTTCCTGGGGAAAAAGTGGCATGTGTGTGGATGCAGCCCTTCCCCCTGAGGTGATTTTTTTTTTTTTTTTTTTTTTTTTTGGGGGTTCAGGATGAGGAATTCTGGGATTTCACACTGACAAACCTCTGCCCTGTGCTATTCCCGTGGATCCAAGCCTTTTTTTTTTTTTTTTTTTTTCCTGCAGGAAATGACCAAATGAAGGCAGAAAACTTCGAGGCTGCCGTGTCTTTTTATGGAAAAGCCATCGAGTTAAACCCATCCAATGCTGTTTATTTCTGCAACAGGTACAGAGCAGCTCCCCCAGACTCCTGAATTATCCAAAATCCCAATTTTTTTTTTTTTTTTTGGATCCTCTGGGGTTGTGGAGCTGTGCTTTTGGTGCCTCCTGGCACCCGTGGGTGGGATGTGGGTGTGGAAATGGAAATGAAGGCGCTGGAGGGGTGAGGAATTGCCAAGGAATTCTGCCATGGGATGTGCTGGGAATTGAGGGATGGAAAATCAGCGGTGGAAAGGGAGAGGTTTCTGTGATCTTGGATAAAACTGAGTTTAAACTTTAATTTGATTGAATTCCCTGGGAGCTGGGATGGACCTGGACACGGGGAGGTGGATTTTGGGTGGGATTTTGGGTTTGGATTTTGGATTTTGGGTTCTGTAGGAGGGGTCACTGCCCCTGAGGTTTGGGGCTGGTGCCTCTCAGAAACTGGGAGCTCGAGCATAAAAAACAATTTTATGGTTCAAAAAAACCCCCAACTTTTAAAACCGAATTTTTCCTTTTTGGGAAACGTTGAGGGATGAGGGGAAATGAAGGGAATTTTAATCCTGGAATGCCACCAGCAGAAGTGAGAACCCGGATCTGTGCAGAGCTGGGCTTGGGGTTAAACCCAGCTCAAACCCAGGCTGGGCTCAACCTGGAGGGGCCAGGCTTGACTTCCTTTGGGATTTTCCAGCTTTTCAGCATTCCCTACATCCTGATTTTTTTATTTTTTTTCCCATTTTTCCAGAGCTGCTGCCTACAGCAAACTGGGGAATTATGCAGGAGCTGTGAGGGACTGCGAGCGAGCCATCGGCATCGACCCCAACTACAGCAAAGCCTACGGCAGGATGGGGTGAGAAATTCCCACATTCCCTCGGGAATTCTGGCTCCCTGGACACCCCAGAACAGGGATTTTATCAATCTGGTCCATCATGAAAAAATTCCTGCAGTTTCAGGTTTTTAAGTTGGAGAAAATTTCATTTTTTTCAATTTTTAGGAAGCTCGTAGGGAGAAAAATTGGATAAAACAAGGATAAAAGAAGTGACAGAAAATCTCCTCAGTCACTTTAATTTTTATTTTCTTTCCTGCTGGAATTTTGAATCCTTGAAAATTTCTTTTTTCTCAATTCTATGGAACTTGATGGGGACAATTGGATTTTTAAAATTACCTATAAAACCCATCTGTGGCTTCAATTTTTATTTTCTTTCCTCCAAAATTTTATTTAATATTTTAAAAAAATTTGATATTTTTCAATTTTTTTAGGGAGTTGGTGAGGGCAACAATTGGATAAAACAAATGACAAAAGGTCCCTCAGTGTCTTTGAATTTTATTTTCTTTCCTGCTGGAATTTTGAATCCTTGAAAATTTCAATATTAATTTTAAGAAAGTCGGTGGGGACAATTGCATTAAAAAAAAAAAAATTAAAAAAAACCCAAAAACTTCTCTGTGACTTTGATTTTTATTTTCTTTCCAGGCAGTTTTGACTCCCTGATAAATTCCTGCTGTTCCACCTTTGCAGGGCAGAGAAAATTTCATATTTCTCAATTTTTCCACGCTTGGTGGGGGACAACTAGATTTCAAAAAAATACAAAAAAAACCCCATTTTATAACTTAAATTTTGATTTTTTTTTTTTCTTTCCCAGCTTGGCCCTCTCCAGCCTAAACAAACACACAGAAGCTGTGGTTTATTACAAAAAAGCTCTGGAATTGGACCCAGACAACGAAACCTACAAATCCAACCTCAAAATTGCTGAGCAGAAAATGAAGGAGACTCCCAGTCCTGTAAGTCCTGCAATTTGGGAGTTTTATTTCCATTAAAAAGGGGTTTTTTTGGGTTTTTTTCAGCTCTAAAAGCAGTAAATTGTTTTTTTGGGGGGTGTTAAAATGAAGATTTAAGGTGGAGGGTCCTGCTGGATGATCCCACTGAAATCCAGAGGGGAAATTCCTGGATTTGGGAAGGTTGGGAGCAGCTGGAGCAGGATCCTGGTGAGGCTTTTGCACCAGAAATTTCTATTTTGGGAATCAAATCTCTCCAAATTTCACCTTTTTTTTTAAATTTTCTCTGCACCTTTTAAACAGCACCAAACGTGGTTTTTAAATTTTTTTTTTGTTTTTTTTTTTAACACAAAAGTTGTTTTTTTTTCCATAAAAAACCTGGAGGTTTTGCTGTTCCAGGCAGGAATATCCTCATGGATCATTTTTGGGGGGATTTTTCCAGAGGGTTTGGACACTTTTTTTTTTCACTTTTTTTCCCCATTTTTTTAAGGGTTCAAAGTTTGGATTTGGGATCCTTGCAGGACCTGGAGGGAGCCTGCAAAAAAAAAAAAAAATAAATAAATAAAAAAAAAGAGGGAGGGATTTTTCCAAAGAAAGGGAATTCTGGGAGAGGGGTGGGTGGGATGATGAGAAGGAATCCTTGGAAAGGAGGGAGGGGCTGGGATGGAATTCCCAGAAAATTTTGGAATCCCTGGGAGTGTCCAAGGAAAGAAGAGAAACCTCAGAGCCTAAAGGGGCTCCAGGAGAGGGATTTGGGATAAGGGATGGAATTTTGGGATTCAGGAAATGGATTTAAACTGGGAAAAGGGAATTTGGGTGGGATTTTGGGAAGAATTCCTGTCTGTGAGGGTGCTGAGGGAACGGGATGGAATTCCCAGAGGAGCTGTGGCTTCCCTGGATCCCTGGAATGTCCAGGGAAAGGCTGGAGAAGAGAAATTCCAGGGAAATCTCAGAGCCTAAAGGGGCTCCAGGAGAGGGATTTGGGACAAGGGATGGAATTTTGGGACTCAGGGAATGGATTTGAATTGGGAAAAGTGAATTTGGGTGGGATTTTTGGGAGGAATTCCTGTCTGTGAGGGTGAGGATGGAGGAGCTGTGGCTTCTCCATCCTTGGAATTGCCCAAGGCCAGCCTGGATCCTTCATCCCAGAGCATTCCTGATGGGATCCCCTGGCTGTGGGAGCCCTGGGAATGAGGGTTGGGATTTTGGCAATGGCAGCAGCTCGGCTCCTTCCCTTGCAGACGGGCGGCCCCGGGGGCTTCGACCTGGCGGGATTGCTGAACAACCCCGGCTTCATGAGCATGGTAACTGTGGGGTGGGGGCTCCCCGGGATCCCTGTGGGGTGGGGGCTCCCCGGGGATCCCTGTGGGGTGGGGGCTCCCCGGGGATCCCTGTGGGGTGGGGGCTCCCGGGGATCCCTGTGGGGTGGGGGCTCCCGGGGATCCCTGTGGGGTGGGGACTCCCCATGGCATTCCTTGGGATGGGGACTCCTGGGAATCCTCCCCATGGGATCCCTGTGGGGTGGGGACTCCCCGGGGGATCCCTGTGGGGTGGGGACTCCTGGGAATCCTCCCCATGGCATTCCTGTGGGGTGGGGACTCCCCATGGCATTCCTGTGGGGTGGGGACTCCCCATGGGATCCCTGTGGGGTGGGGACTCCCCGGGGGATCCCTGTGGGGTGGGGACTCCTGGGAATCTTCCCCATGGGATTCCTATGGGGTGGGGACTCCCCATGGCATTCCTGTGGGGTGGGGACTCCCCATGGGATCCCTGTGGGGTGGGGACTCCTGGGAATCCTCCCCATGGCATTCCTGTGGGGTGGGGACTCCCCGGGGGATTCCTGTGGGGTGGAGACTCCTGGGAATCCTCCCCATGGGATTCCTTGGGATGGGGACTCCTGGGAATCCTCCCCATGGCATTCCTGTGGGGTGGGGACTCCCCATGTGGGATTCCTTTGGGATGGAGCCTCCTGGGAACCCTCCCCACATGGAATTCCTTGGGTTGGATCCTCCCTGGAATCTTTTCCCAATCCCTGGAGCTTTGTGGGAGCTGCTGCTGTTCCCTCCAGCTCCAATTTGGGATTTTCTCCATGGGCTCTTCTGCTCTTTGCTCTTCTTTTTGACTTTTTCCCAATTTTCCTGGATTCCCAAGGATTCCCTTTGGGGTTGATCCTGCCCTGGCCCTGGTTTCAGTTGGAAACAATAATTCATGTCGAGGTTTTGGTTTATTAATTTGAATTTTTTTTATGTTGGGAGATAGAATTAGGAGGAAGGCAAAGCAGGTTTAACTTTAAATGGTACCCCCCAAAAAAAACTTTATTAGTTCATTAATTATATAATATAAATCACTAATTAATATTAATTATATAATTAGTATTATTTATTATTATTAGAAACTATAAGGAGTAAAAGAATAAAAATTAAGACATCTATTCCTCCCACACACACTTTTTTTTTTTTTTTTTTACACTGAAAACATACAGAAAATAACTTAGTTTATTATTTTTAAAATAGTCTTTTATTAATTTACTGTGAAGAGGAGAATTTCCTCTTCTGTTTATGGAGATTTCTTTATAAGGAATAATTTTTTTCTGTGGTCTTGATGTCACAGTGATCAGCTGAGAATGGAATTCTGATCACTCAGAATTCTTTTCTTTAATTAAAAATTTCTTTCTTTAATTGAAAAGTTTTTCCCATAACTATTATTGAGGACCATATTTATGAGGCACTCTTTAAAAATTATAACAATTAAACCAAAAGCGTTTATTTATTTATTATTTTAATTTTATTCTTTTATTCAAAAGTGTTTTATATTTTAATTTTTAAATTTTTTTTTAATACAGGCCTCAAATCTCATGAACAACCCCCAAGTACAGCAGCTGTGAGTAAAATCCTGCTTTTATGGATTCCCTCTTGGAATTTGTGGGGTTGGCCTTTCCTGGTTGGGAATTTGGGTCAGGAATGTGGGGAAGGGCTCAGAATTCCCCAATTCCCTGAGCTGGGGTGGTTTGGGATGTGCTGGGAGAGGGATTTGAGTAAAATTATTCCAGAGGGGGATTTTGGGATTTATGGGATGGGATTTTGGGATTTATGGGATGGGATTTGGGGATGGGATTTTGGGATTTTTGGGACGGGATGATGGGATGGGATTTTTTGGGATGGGATTGATGGGATTTTGGGATTTTTTGGGATGGGATTGATGGGATTTTGGGATTTTTGGGATGGGATTGATGGGATTTTTTGGGATTTTTGGGATGGGATCACAGCCCTGGACATGGCTCTGCTGCAGTTCTGTGGGATTTCAGGATTTCCCAGCTCTGTTAAAAGGGGAATGTTCCCATTCCTGGATGGCTGTGAGGAGCAGCTCCGGTATTTTAAGGAAATTAATAAATTCCCAAATCCAAGGAAGAGGGTGGGGGCAGGGAGGGACCCTCCAGAGCCCCAAAATCCTTGGATTTTTGGGATGAGACCACTCAGCTGCCCTTGGCTTCTGGAATTCCCGAGGGAATCCAGGGAATTCTGTCGTGGATGCAGAGCAGGGCTGTGATCCCATAAATCGGGAAATCCAGATTTCTGACGTCATGATAATTATTCTTATTTATTGTTCAGCTTAATTAGTTATTATAGATGATCCAGGGAAAGCTGGTGCAGGGAATTGCCGGGGTGGGAAGTTGTTCCCATTCCCAGGTTTTTTTTGGGGGGGATTTTTCCAGGTTTTTTTTATCCCAGTCCTGATCCCCGTTTTTTTCCTCCTCGCAGAATGTCCGGGATGATCTCGGGAGGTCACAACGCCATGGGGGCGGCCGGGAGCAGCCCCTCCACCAACGACCTGGCCAGCCTGATCCAGGCGTGAGCGGGGGACAGCGAGGGGACAGCAGGGGGACAGCGAGGGGACAGCAGGGGGACAGACTGGGGATAGCGGGAGGACATTGAGGAGACAGCCTGGGGACACTGCGGGGACAAACTGGGGGACATTTGGGACATTGAGGGGACATTGAGGGGAACAGACTGGGGACATTGAGGGGACAGTGTGAGGGACAGTCGTGGGGACAGCAGGGGGACATTGAGGAGACAGCCTGGGGACAAACTGGAGGCGCCGGGGGGACATTGAGGGGGACAGCCTGGGGACAATGGGGAGACATTGGGGACATTGAGGGGGACATTGTGGGGACAGCCTGGGGACAGTGGGGAGACATTAGGGACAGACTGGGGACAGCGGGGGGACATTGAGGGGGGCAGTGGGGGACATTGAGGAGGACAGCCTGGGGAGAGGCTGGAGACATTGAGGGGACAGCTCGGGGACATTGAGGGGGACAGATTGGGGACAGCAGGGGGACATTGTGGGGACAGACTGGAGATAGTGGGGCGGCAGCCTGGGGACATTGTGGGTGACAGCATGGGGACAGACTGGGGACAGTGTGAAGACATTGAGGGGACAGCCTGGGGACAATCCTGGGGACATCATGGGAACAGCCTGGGGGGATAATCCTGGGGACAGCTTGGGGACATTGCGGGGACAATCGTGGGAGACAGGCCTGGAGACAGCCTGGGGGGATCATTGTGGGGACATTGTGGGGACAGGCCTGGGGACATCCTGAGGACAGGTGTGGGGACACTGATGTCTCCCCTGATGTCCTGGTGTTCCCCACTGTCCCTCATGTCCCCGTGTGTGTCCCTGATGTCCCCATGTCCCCGTGTGTGTCCCCATGTCCCTGCTGTCCCTGTGTGTGTCTCCTCTGTCCCCACTGTTCCTGATGTCCCTGCTGTCCCTGATGTCCTCGTGTGTCTCCATGTGTGTCCCTATGTCCCCATGTGTGTCCCCTCTGTCCCTGATGTCCCCGTGTGTGTCCCCGCTGTCCCCAATGTCCCCGTGTCCCCGGTGTTCCCTGCTGTCCCTGATGTCCCTGTGTGTGTCCCCATGTCCCCGTGTGTGTCCTTGCTGTCCCCATGTCCCCACTGTCCCTGCTGTCCCGTGTGTGTCCCCGTGTGTGTCCCGTGTGTGTCCCCTGTGTGTCCCGTGTGTGTCCCCTGTGTGTCCCGTGTGTGTCCCCTGTGTGTCCCGTGTGTGTCCCCATGTCCCGTGTGTGTCCCCATGTCCCGTGTGTGTCCCCATGTCCCGTGTGGTGTGTCCCCATGTCCCGTGTGTGTCCCCATGTCCCGTGTGTGTCCCCATGTCCCCTGTGTGTCCCTGCTGTCCCGTGTGTGTCCCTGCTGTCCCCTGTGTGTCCCCTGTGTGTCCCCTGTGTGTCCCGTGTGTGTCCCCAGGGGCCAGCAGTTTGCTCAGCAGATGCAGCAGCAGAACCCCGAGCTCATTGAGCAGCTCCGCAGCCAAATCCGCAGCCGGACCCCGAGCGCCAGCAACGAGGAGCAGCAGGAGTGAGGTGGGAACAGCTGGAATTCCTGATGGGAACAGCTGGNCCGCAGCCAAATCCGCAGCCGGACCCCGAGCGCCAGCAACGAGGAGCAGCAGGAGTGAGGTGGGAACAGCTGGAATTCCTGATGGGAACAGCTGGGATTCCCCCATGGGAACAGCTGGGATTCCTGATGGGAACAGCTGGGATTCCTGATGGGAACAGCTGGAATTCCTGATGGGAACAGCTGGAATTCCCCATTGGGAACAGCTGGAATTCCCCATTGGGAACAGCTGGAATTCCCATTGGGGAACAGCTGGGATTCCCCCCATTGGGAACAGCTGGAATTCCCATTGGGGAACAGCTGGAATTCCCCCCATTGGGGAACAGCTGGAATTCCCATTGGGGAACAGCTGGAATGCCTGATGGGAACAGCTGGAATGCCTGATGGGAACAGCTGGAATTCCCCCCATTGGGGAACAGCTGGAATTCCCCATTGGGGAACAGCTGGAATTCCCCATTGGGAACAGGTGGAATTCCCATTGGGGAACAGCTGGAATTCCCATTGGGGAACAGCTGGAATTCCCCATTGGGGAACAGCTGGAATTCCCCATTGGGGAACAGCTGGGATTCCCCCCCATTGGGGAACAGCTGGGATTCCCCCCCATTGGGGAACAGCTGGAATTCCCCCCCATTGGGGAACAGCTGGAATTCCCCCCATGGGAACAGCTGGAATTCCCCCATGGGAACAGCTGGAATTCCCCTGGGAACAGCTGGAACTCCCCATTGGGGAACAGCTGGAATGCCTGATGGGAACAGCTGGAATGCCTGATGGGAACAGCTGGAATTCCCCCCCATTGGGAACAGCTGGAATTCCCCCCCATGGGGAACAGCTGGAACTCCCCCCATGGGGAACAGCTGGAATTCCCCCCATTGGGGAACAGCTGGAATTCCCATTGGGGAACAGGCAGAATTAATTATTTAATTAAAATTGAAATAATTGAAATAAGATTAAAACATTTTTTAAATAATGCAAGGAATTGAAATTGTTCTTAATTTTAAAATTTTATTAATACATATGATACAATATTTTATTACTATTTTATGGAATTATTATATAGAAATTTTGAAAACTTATATTTAAAGTAATGAAAAGGAAAAGAAAAAGAAATTCAAATTGAAACAAAATTAAAATAAAAATAAGTTGAAGTAAAAGAAATGAAAAGCAATTAAATTTGAAATATATTAGACTGAAATAAAAACAAAAAAATTTATAATATAGAAAATAAAATAAATAGAAATACAAATAAATTTAAATTGACCTAAAATAAATTCAAAATAAATTAAAATAAAAATTAACAAAATAAATGAAATGAAAATAAATAAAAATCAACCCAAATTAAACCCATTCAATTCCCATTTTCCCGAAGTGAATTCCCTGTTTTTCCTCTCTCTGCAGCCTCCAGCAATTCCAGGATTTGCTTTTCCAGCTGGAGCTGTGTCCGTGTTGCCATTTCTGCACTTGGAAGTGTCCAAGAGGGGGAAAATCCCAAACCCAGAATGGAGAAAAACCGGAAAAATTCCCAAATTTTCCGTGCCCTGCATGTCCCCTGCAATTCCCATTTCCCCCCCTGCTCCTCCCATTTTTTTCCCTTTTCCATATTTTATTTTTTAGATTTTTTTTTTTTTTTCCTGGCAGCGCTGAATTCTGAATTTCCCACCTGGACTGGGAGAATTTCACTGGGAAATTCCCAAATTCCCACAGAATTTGCTGCCTGGGATATTTTATTCTTGATTTTTTTTTTTTCTTGGTTTTTTTTTGAAGAATTTCCAAGCAAATTCTTCTTTTTTTTTTTTTTTTTTTTCCCCCCAATTTTCCCTTTGGGAGCCACTTCCAAGAAGTGTTTGAGTCCCTGCTCATCCCCAGCCTGGAATTCCTGGGATTTTCCACCTTCTGGGAATGAGGATTTTGCTCCAAATCTGGGATTTTTGGGAATTTTGCTGCTCCCTTCTCCAGGATCCACAGGGGGGAAATCAGGACTGAACCTCCCCACAGGCATTTTTTGGGTTTTTTTCATCCCAAAAAAAATCCTGGAAAATCCCATTTGGGTGTGCAGCAACTCTGGAAAAATGGGAATTTCTCCCATGGAATGTGGGCAGGGAGGGAGTGAAGGTGTTTTTAGTGTGTTTAAAGGAATTTTTTCCGGAATTATTTTGAATTTTTTTTTTTTTTTTTTTTTTTT